TTCAGTTATGTACAATTGCGGCTGTACATACAATCGGGGTGGCTGTAGCTCAGGAGGTACAGAAGGTCATCTACTGATCTGCATCTTGGTAGTTGGATCTTGCTGCTCCAGTCTGCATGCCAAATATCCTTTGGCAAGACATTAACCTCAAACTGCTCTCAGATGCATTCATGGGAGTATGAGTGTGGGCAAATGTTAGATAGAACGCACTTACGTAGAAAAAAAGCATAGAAAAAACATAGCTTGTACAAATGGGTGAATAAGGCAAGCTGACGTTTTCAGCTTGGAGTGCTCAGGTAGAGAGAAAAGCGCTATACAAGAAATTTACATTTATGTAAGTAGAAGTGATTTGGATGTACCACCACTTTGCCAGAGATCTGGAAGAAGGCCCAAACTGTTACCCTCAGATAAGAGGAAATTGGCTAGGATGTTCAGGAACCACCAAGGCTTAAGCCTGCATGAACTGAAAACTGCTTGAAGAACAGCATCACTTTCCACAGTGAAACAAGTCTCATCACCGGGGACTGAGAGGTGCCCCTGGTCCAGAAATACCCCATTTTTTAATCATTTTATTTTCTGCATGGTCAGTATTTTCATTGTTACCTCCCTCACACTTTTATTTAAACATACATCTGGATTGGTTACAAAAGTTATTCATTTGTAAATGTCGACAAAGTTGATAAGATTAAAGGTGATAAAACAGAAGAAGATACTGGATGTAACCCCATTGTGCAGCCCAAAGATAAATAGACATTGTGACATCACCTGCTGGTTTTGGACTTTGCATTTTGAAGCCTCAATTTTGTGGAGCCAGAAGTGATGAAATCTGGATGACAGGCAGGAATGCTAAGTTATTGGGTAATGCCTGCAAGCTTTTTTAACAAGCAACATGCACAAACATATGTACATATGTGCTAATTAGTCCCAAGTAACATGCAAGTATACTCACCAGCTTTGTAGATGTTAAGCACCCCACAGCATTCTGTATTACTTGCCAGATAACTCCATTAAAAATGCTCCAAAATACACAAATACCACAAACACTGTGGAGAGGTCCAGTTCACTGACTCTAATTAGCTAAGCTTTTCAAGTGTAACTCAAGGATAAGTTATACAAACATTTCCCGCAGTGCAGTTATTATGAAAAGGGAACACTAACCATAGAGGCTCAAACCATTTTTATTCCACTCTGTTAACAGGCTTTTTAAATGCAGTGTATCTGGACATCTTAACATGGGAATCTATGGGAATTAACTCATATTTAGAGCCCTCAAGTGGCCATCGGTGGAAGTGCTGTTTGTGTGTTCGGCATAGCTCCTTAACAGACCATTAGGTTGTTTTCCACTTCAGGGAAAAGGATCTAATGGTCGCTTTGTGTGGCCTGCAACTTCATGTGCATTCCCACGATGGTACACTGTCCTGTAGGACTGTGTGTGTGTGTGTGTGTGTGTACAGATCATCATACAGTAGTACCTTTAATATTGAGAGAGAAGAGAAAATGGAGACAGCTGAGATAAGCCTGGAGTCTATGTTTTTATAAATGGGGAGCACAAAAGAGAAATGTTTTTAAATTTCCCCTGTGTTAAAGCAGCTGCCGCTACATTAGCAGGCTAATTTGAATAACCTTTGCGTGTCTTCATCGTAGCGGAAACACAGACAAACAATGACCTGAAGGGATATTTAAGTGCTGCGAAAAGGGTTCGTGAGGGAAAAGGTTCCAGGTACTTTAAATGGAAAAATAACTACTGGTTGTCCTAGAAAGTTTATTCTCGTCTTCTGGATGTTTAATTTTTTAGTGCAATGTTTTCGGATGATAGAGAATGCATAAAGACTGTAGGTTGTGAGAGGTGGGCACATTTTATTTTATGGTGGCCAAGCCCATTATTTGGTTATGCTAATGTACATTTAAGCAGAGAGCTAAAAAATGTCAAGTCAACTGCTTTGAGATACAGGGCACTGAAGCAGTGTCCTTCTTACACTGTACTTCCAGTGTAAATTATAGGGGAAGGAAAAGAATAATGCAAAAACACATTGAAAACTTTGATTTTTAATTCCTGCTTTAGTTGGTCTTCCTCAAGCTCTGCTTAGAAACACTGTGGACAAACAAAGAGGGACAGTATTTGATGATTGAGATATCAACTCAGATAAACATTGCACATGTATTTTATATATATATATATATATACACACAGCAGCTCTCGACAGCAAAATACTTGCGACTAGATGAGTAGCCTACAGTTTTTGCATTTTAAGATCATCAAAAAAATTTTAATGTTAGACAAAGTTAGTTAAAGTTGAAGTTAGACAAAATGCATTTTTTTAATATGATGTCATTTGTGATCAGAGACAAGCTATCCAAACCATCCTGGCTGAACAAAGGAGAGATGGTAGCTGACCGAAAAGAAAACCAAAATAATACTAGCTTAAAACTCCTAATCAGTAATTGTGATTTCAAGTATTTCCTTGGTCTTTAAAAAACAGCTTTTGATAATGATAATTTTTCTCTGGGGGTTCTTGTTTCTTTGGCCTGCATGAAACAACACGGTAAGAATACTTTAGAGTGAAGCAAGATGCACATTTTGTAATCTATCAGAATATTGTATGTAAACGCATCAAACACATTCTTAAAGTGTCAAATGTAAGTGTAAATAAGTCTTTATTTGTTCTCCTTCACACCTTTCTTTGACCACATGACGTCTTCCATCGAGGGCTGGGAAATGTGGTTATGAAAAGAATGTAGGAGGTACATTTTTGACAAGTCAACTGCACCCCGGAGTTTTTGTAAATTAGCAGAAGTTGGCCCCAAAATGAGGTTCTGTAGGATCTTGACATCACTATATATAAAATGATCTAAGATGAAAAGTGAACTGAATCAGTTTAGGCTTGTGTTCCACACGCTTTAAAAACCAACAGTGCACAACTTGGACTTTACTTCCATCTTGTGTTCAACAGAGAAAACTGCAGCATGAAGGAGGGGAATAAAAACATCTGTGAAATGCAGCTTTTCACAGCACTGGTGACTTACTGTACACCACACTAGTTAAACACACACGCACAAGCATGCCTGAGAGAAAGAAAATCCTAAATAAATTCAAGCTTGTGTCCCCAGTTCTTGTTTTTTTCTTTTTACTTTTTTTAAGTCATTAAAGATGAATGCTGTACAATCAGTCCAGCCATCAATGACGAGTGTATGTAAACGTGACCACAACTTTATATTGTTCTAAGCTTTTAAGAACTGCCTAGAAAATAAGCAAACAACAAAACAGTACATTTGCAGCCATAGATCTTAAACAGTCGATGTCATTTATCTACTTATTTGCTGCACCGTCAGTACATTCTTTGTTCATATGTAAATGTCACAAAGTTGATAAGATTAAAGTTGAAAAAACAGAAGAAGATACTGGATGTAAACCCATTGCAACCCCTCTGTGAGATCACCTGCTGGTTTTGGACTTTGTATTTTGAAGCCTCAGTTTTGTGGAGCCAGAAGTGACGGGATTTAGACGACAGGGTGGTGGCTGATATCAGCTACTGCCTTTTTGTTTGTTTAGTTGCAACTAGTTGTAACTAATAAGTGTCTCGCCAAGTGACACTATAAACTGTATCATTCAAAACACTTATGCCATTTAGTTCATTTTCAGCAAAAGTAGACCAACCTCAGTTTCAACAAAGACATAAATGAAGAGTCGCACATCAACACTCATGAAGTCTTGTGATAAAGAGTCCTTCATCACACGGAGTAGTAAAAACATAACTTGCTTATGTATTTTTACTGCATGTGTGATGTTGCAGTGTGACCATAGCATCTGTAAGGACAGTGCGCAAATACGGGGTGTGTAGGAAAGAAGTGTAGGAAATGATCATCTCATGGACGTCAACCCCAAGCCTCTGACTAATTTTGTTCCGAACGTCTTGAATAAATGCTATAGAAAGAAGTGCTCCATCCATCAGAGTCATAATAGGTCAAGAAACTTTATTTGCTTAATGCCAAATGCTGAATGTTAAACTACGTTACATTTACTCTAGCAGATAAAAATACTTGGAGTTTGTTTTTCATACTGTTGCTTATAAAGCTAAAAACGATCCTCTGAGTTTTCATTTAGATCCGTGAAGGTTTTTGGTTCATTGACTTTAATGCAAACCATTGCGCTCGTTTCCGGGTTCATATATTTTTTACAAGAAAGAAAACAGAAAGAAAAACACACCCCAAAAATCTTTTACTGGGTTTAAGTGCAGACTTTAGTTCATCCCCCGTTTGGAACAAGCTATTTTAGCATCTCCTTTCAGTCAGTTTCCTTTTTATATTTCTGTGTTCACACCCAAACCTGTGTGTTTGTGGTGACTGTATTAGGGATATCTGATCTTAGTGAAGTCACTGAATAGAAAGATGTAGGGAACAGAGCTTTTAGAGCAGTATTAAGCATGAATCTTTGCTGCATGCACGCATACACACTGTGTATGTGTGAGTGTGTGTTCATCTGGATCACCTTCCTTCTCTTTACCACACTTAGAAATAACATCCAGATGTCTTCACTGTAGATCTGGTGAGGTTTAGGTGAACTGAGGGAACAGAAAGGGAACACAGAAGGGAACTAACAAACCTAAAGTAAAGTAAAACTAAAGTAAAAACAAAAGGCACAAATAAAAGGACAGGAAGCAATAGAAATAATCTTAGGATAACTCATACACACAAGAAAATACAAAGTAACACTGTTAACAGAAAACTCTAAATAATACAGAACTCCAACATGAATTGCTTCTCAACACCAGAAAGAATCACGATTTGCAGAAAAATTCAAACCCAAGGCTCAAAGACGCACAAACACATAGTACACTGTGCAGTCCAGAAGCCCCACTTTCTGTTTCCAACCAGGGAGGAAAACGTATAAAAAAATACCATCCTGCAGACAGCTGCTGGCATTTGTGGCTCACTAGGCAGACAGTAGGCAAGTATTGCTTCTATGGGTGTGTACCTGTGTGTGTAAATAGGTCATTACAAAGACCTGCAGCTTTGATACTTAAAGAACGTGAACGAGACGGAGACAGTGAACATGTAACCTGTTTGCTATGCATTTTTAAACAGAGAACACAAAAGAGATATTTTTCTAAAGACCTGGGTGAAAACATCTGTCTGAATAATCTTTGAAGGTTTGCACTGCAGTGGAAACACAGACAAACACTGATGTGCAGAAAACTTGAAGAAACACGGAAGTATTTGTTCAGGAGGGTGGACGATCAGATCTGCAGAGCAAAAAACTAGAAGCTACTTGGAACAAGGACAGAGAACAAAGGTGAGCGGCAAATTATGCTAATGAGTGATTATAACAGTGTTTTATGTTTTTGAATGGAATCAATTTAGTCTGTTGTTTTCACTGTGTGTCAGCTGTTGGGGTGCGTTTTGTTCAGCAGGAGTAGACGAGATCCAAATGATGCCAAATACAGCTGCTGCCAAGAAATGTCGCTCCCTAATGATTAAAAACTATAAACCAGTGCAAAAATGACAATTCACTATAGACAATAAATAACTAAATATAATCCACTATCCTCAAATCACACATTACAAATACTTACCGTTGGTTTGTGAATTTTTGTTGCTCCCTAAATTGGCGCGCAAATCATCAAAACTTTCTGAACGTGTTCTTTCGTTTAAAGTTACTGAAAACCATCAAGTTTTCACATTTCAGGCCACTTTGTGAAACTTTGTGGGAGAACAAGTTTATTTCCTTCTATCAAAATATTTATCAGGTAGCGTGAAGGTGATATAACCTTTTTTATTTTGATCTGAAAGGGAATATTGCACACTTTTTTTCACGATTTCATTATTAAGACCGGGGTTATTATTCTAATGGTCCCTTAGCCTTTAAACATTGTAAATTTACCATAGGTAGTAGAAATAAAAGTAAAGAGAATGAATAAAATGTATGTGCTCCGAGCTAGCGTGTTAGCAAATGAGGAAGTGTTCCAGTTGTTGGGAAGTTTTTCAGTTTTAAAAAACTGAGACTTGTTCTGTTTGATTTTTTTTTTTTGTTTTGCTTGAGGTTGAATTTTACTGCAGGCATGTTCAGGCAGCTCCTCCACACACAAAGACAGGGAAGCACGAGAGGCAAAGATGAGGTATAACTCAAAGCAAATGGATGTTTTACCTGCAGAGAGAGAAAATGGGTCCAAAGGATTTTGTTTTCAGTGCTTCACAGCTCTGCTGCCCACAGGTTGCTGACAGAACCAACTAAAGTTGGAATCACATCTAACTGACAATTTAATTTTTGTTTTGCTTTAGAGTGGCCTCTGTTTTTATTAGGGTGAGGGTGTGTTTTCTTTTTTTTTTTTTTTGCTTGTTTACTTTGTTCTATTCATTTCTGACATAAGAATAAGCTCCAGGAGTTAATAATTTCAAAGTTGCACCAAACTGATAATATTTAACACAAACATGTCCATAATGTTTAAAGTAATCCTTCTAACAAATGACCTAAACTAATCGCAGAGTTCTAACTTTAATCTCAAAATTCTGAGAAAAAAGTCAGAAATCAGAGAAAAAATAATTCTGAGAAAAACATCAGAATTCTGGAAAACAAGAAGAAAAAAGAAGAAAAAAATAGCTTCCATGTCTAAAAAATAAAGCAGGCACTGAAACGCATTAAATCTGCTTGGCCAGCAGACCTTCCATTTGTATATTTGGCTCCATTCCTTAGCAAACGAGCTCAGCAAACACTTTGATGACAACTTTATGGGCTGTCAGTATCAGACAAAACAATTTTTTATCTGTTACATGATTTTGATGTTTAGATTCGTCATTTTGTTCCACAAATTACTTCTAACATCTTCTTTCTTGTCTTTCATCATCAATCCACAGACCTGAAGACCCTTAGTAGCTGATTGTGCACCTCCACATAAGACTTGCTGACAGTTAACAATGACTACTCTAGCACAAGTTAAAAAACTGCTGAAAGATTACCTGGACGAGCTAAATGAATCTGATCTAAGATCCTTTCAGTGGTACTTGGCCTTGAATGAGACAAAGGGACAACAAACTATCAAGACATCTCATCTGGAGAATGCTACCAGAGAGAAAACTGTGGACAAGCTGGTCCAGGTTTATGGGGAAAATGATGCTGTGAAGGTGACAATTGACAATTTCAGTAGCATTAAGCGCAACGACCTGGCAAAAAAGTTAACTGAAGGTAAAATGCCATGGTGGTGTTGACACATCATGCAAACATTGAATATTTGTTCATTTGCATCTTCTTGTCTTGTTCATTATCTCTCCCAATGCGTAACATACCGTCGATTTGTCACGTCCATAGGCCTCTCATAGTAACACAAAAGGTAACTTTCCACGTTCTTATGAAATGCTCAGTTTTCAATTCAATCAAATAGAACGCTGCAAAGCGGCTTTCTATTCCATCCCTAATCTTAACCCTACCCTTAACCATAACCTTAATCATAATTTTAACCATGCCTAACCCTATCCCTAACCCTGACCCTATCCCTCCTAACCATAACGTTGTTAAGTTGATTTTCATGTCACACGTAAAACACACTTAAAGATTCATTCCAACCGACTCTCATGCGTCCGAAGGCGTAACTGTGATGGGGTTACACCGTCACAGAACGCTGACAAGCAACATGAGTGCAGGCACGCACAACCACAATTAGATTCCACACTCTTCACAAGGTGTTATTGTGGCTACGTGTCGTTAAGCCAACAGGTCAGATAAACAGGAAGGGGTGACAGCTAATTCAGATATCCTGAACACAAAGGAACCACAGAGACTATGTTGACCTCACAGTCATTTCATTATTTACACACCTGCTGCCTGGGCTTTAGGGGGGTTGTCTGGAAGAGGAAGACGACTCAGTCCATCATCATTACTGTTGTTCTTGTCCTCTCTGTATTTAACGACATACTTATATGCTCTTAACAATACCGCCTATCGCATGATCCTCTGTGACGCCAATAGAGGGACGGCCTTCATCTCATGAAAAAAACTTATCAATGGCTTGTGATCCATGATAATCATATACTTCCTGCCATACAAGTACCTATGAAAATACTGTACACCTGTCACGGTTAACGCTGGCCAACCGTGGGGATGTGGGGAAAGGAGGACCCAAATGCTGGACTCTTTGATGCAACAGTGCATTTATTTACAGTGCAGGGAAAATAACAATAAATCCCCAGTGCGTTCCCGACTCTGACATGTCCTCTTGCCAGTGTTAGTGTTCTTTGTCTCCGCTCCTCAGTGTCTGAGCACCCCGTGCTCGCTGCCCTCTCGTCTCCACACTCCTCCTGGGGAATAACAAAGAGGCAGCCGTCAGACACACCACAATGCAGCAGACTAAACTTACTAACTGGCCAAGAGACTAACGTGAAGTCACGCAATGATCCAGCATCGGAGAGAGCTCCACCACACTCTTAAGTAGCTCCTCCGACGAGGCTTGATCAGCTGCAGGTGTGTATGGTCTTCAGGTGTGGCCAACCACCTGGCAGGGCCACACCCACCAGGTCTGAAGGTGCTCCAGATACACCGCATCCACACACAACACACGCACACCACACAACACACACACACACACACTAACTACACACTCACTACACACTAACTACACACACACACCAAAAATACACATGTCCATAATTGCTCAGACCCAGGACCCTGACAACACCAAATATTAAAGCCAATCCTTCTTTATCCAGCTGTTAGTAGTTCTTTTCTGTTACGTTCAGTGTACGTGATGCAAACCCAATAGGTTTCTCCTGACCATCTGCTGAGCTATCTCTGCTCCCACTAGGGGGATGCATTGCAAGAAAAAATCCAATCTTTCTTCTCATCATAGTGCACCAATACACTACTTGACAGTTGCAACAGTTCCTTTGACTTACAGAAAACCTTCTTCTGTTCTGGTCCCCAACACCACGGTTCCTCCTTTCTCAGATGCTTGTGCAGTGGGGCCAACAGCATGGACAAGTTTGGCAAGAACTTATTATAGAACTTCAACAACCCCAAATAAGCTTTGAGCTCTGTCGCTGATTTTAAGGGTGGCACCTCCTGCACTGCTTTCACTTTTGCCAGCACTAGACATAATGTGGTCTTATCCACCCGATGTCCTAGAAATGTCACTTCCTTCTCCATGAACTGACATTTGCTCCTTTTTAAACGCAGGCCCGCCTCCTCTAAGTGCTGCAGTACTCCATCCAGTGTCTGAAGATGTTTTTGGTCATTTTTTGTAGTCACCACAAATCCTGGCACTGGAGTCTGGCTTTAGTATTGGTACAATGGGTGCTGCCCAATCAGAGAATTTCACTGGCTGGATAATTTTCTCCTCCAACAGTCTCTCCACTTCTTGCTACACTTTCTTTTCCATAGAAAACAGAACTAATTGTGTCTTATATAAGCAAGGTTTGGAATCACTGGCTACATGTATCTTTGCTGCGAACCCCTTTAGCGTTCCTAGCTCATCCTTAAACACTGTTGCATGTCTGGCCAGTATCTGCTGCAGCATCTTCTCTGCCTTCTATCTCATGTACAGGATGCCACTCTAGTTGGAGGGCCTTAATCCATCCGCGACCCATCAAAGTAGTTCTAGCCCCTTTAACCACCGCCATCCAGTGTTTTTCTTACTGTCTCTGAATTCCACCTTCACTTTGGCTGCTCGTGGCCTTTGGCTACCTTGTGGCCTCCACACGTTCTCAGTTTGATTCCACACTTGCTTACTTTGGGTGCATTACTGCCTTTAAAAGGTTTTTTAAATGTCTCCTTTGACATGGTAGTGAAGCCACAGCCCGTGTCTGTTTCAAAAATCACATTCTGTCCATTTACTTTTAGTTCCTTTCTGATGGGTTCCTCCCTCGGAATACTAATCTCCTCATGCATATTGTACATAGTCACACTACTTGCCTTTATGTGCTGATCTTTTAGGATTTATCTTTTTAAATTATGATCGTGTTCTTATTTGTGGTGATTTTAACATTCATATATGCTGTGAGGCGGACCTATTGGCTAAGGACTTTCTTGCCCTTATCGACTCTTTTAATATCACTCAGTGGGTGAGAAAATCAACCCACACTAAAGGGCATATGCTGGACTTGGTATTGTCGTATGGACTGGATATTTGCATCACAGACATTAATGATGCTGGGATTTCGGACCATTTCCCAGTTATGTTTGATGTTCAGTTATGCAATATGGAACTGAACTCTGAGGGTCCACTGTGCCTATCGCGTCTGATTAATTCTGAGGCTGTTGCCCTTTTCTCTGCGGCCTTTGCGAACTCTGTCTGTTACGATGACATTAGTAATGCACCTCTCTCGGTTGATGGCGCAGTCAACTCTTTTATTTCTACATGCTCTTCTATTTTGGACACTGTGGCTCCAGTAAAGACTAAACGCCGTAAAACCTCTCGCCAACCCTGGCTAAATGAATACACCCTCGCTCTTAGACATGAACGTCGTCGAGCTGAGAGGAGATGGAAAAAAGATCAACTTCAGGTGTCCCTTGACATCCTGCATATGAGCCGGTCTAAATTTCAGAAGGCTGCCAAAATGGCAAAAACGTCTTTTTTGTCGAACATCATTGCAACTAATAGTCACAATCCTTGAGTTCTGTTTAAAATCTTTAACTCAGTGGTTAATCCCTGCTCTGATGTTTCGATGGGTGCCTCCCCGGCCCTCTGCGAAAAGTTTCTAAATCATTTCATAGATAAAATCTCAGTGTTAAGGGCCCCACATTCTCCGGCAGTAAATCAAGCCCCAGTTTCCGAATGTTCAACGGTTTTTCAACAGTTTGAACCTGTGTCGTTCTCGACTTTAATGGAAATAATTAATAACCTGAGAAGCTCAAATTCTCTGCATGACATTATTCCTTCTCGTATCATTAAGGATGCATTGAAAACAATCGGGTCTTGTATCTTATTTTTAATGAACTCATCACTGTTATCTGGCTGTGTTCCGACTGTCTTTAAACATGCAGTCGTGCAACCTGTTATCAAGAAAAGCAGCCTTGATCATAACACTCTAGCAAATTACAGGCCGATTTCTAAACTCCCTTTCATGTCAAAAAGTTTAGAGAAAATAGTGCTTCAGCAACTACAGACCCATTTAGAGATAAACGGTATAAGTGATAAATTGGGTCCTGTGTTGTTTTCTATGTATATGCTGCCCTTGGGCTCCATTTTTGAAAAACACAATGTCTCTTTTCACTGCTATGCTGATGATATTCAAATCGACCTCCACTTGACTGGGGATGTTTCGTCTTCACTACATCCTCTGTTTGATTGTCTGAGGGATGTCAAAGACTGGTTATCACGTAACTCTCTTACTTTAAATGAAAAGAAGACAGAAATTATTGTTTTTGATAGAAATATGCCTCTGGAACAACTGACTGGTACACTCTTGCCTGTTGCTAATCACCTCACTGATGCTGCTAGGAATCTTGGAGTTTTCATGGATAGTTCCTTCAAACTAGATAAACAGGTTTCTACTGTGGTAAAAACCAGCTTTCATCAGCTACGCCTAATTTCTAAGGCTAAACCTTATATACCACGCAAAGATCTGGAGAAACTCATTCATGCGTTCATCACTTCAAGACTAGATTATTGTAATTCTCTCTACTTGGCCCTTCAATCTTCCCTCCTTCAGCGATTGCAGCTGGTCCAAAATGCCACAGCACGTCTCCTGGCACTAGAAAGTATGATTCTATCACCCCTGTTCTAGCCAACTTACATTGGCTTCCTATTAAATATCGAATTGATTTTAAAATTTTATTGTTTACTTATAAAATCCTAAATAATATGGCACCTGACTACCTAGCTGATCTCCTCTGTCTGTATAGCCCTAAGAGAGCACTAAGATCATCGGGCCAACTGCTCTTAGTGCAACCTAGGTCTCGGCTGAAGACCAGAGGAGACCATGCCTTTGCTGTTGCCGCACCCAGGTTATGGAATATTCTCCCTCTTCATATTTGCGCATCAGATTCTATTCAATCTTTTAAATCACGTCTAAAAACATACTAGTTTAACCTGGCATTCCAGGCTAATCAGGGTAATTTACATCTGGCTTTGCATTTAGATTATGTAATTATTTTATATTTTATATCTGTAATTTATATTTTATATTGTGATTTTTATCTGTATCATGATTTTACTGGAAAGCACTTTGGTGTACTTTGGTCTTTAAAATGTGCTATATAAATACATTTTGATTGATTGATTGATTTCAGCGCCTTTCTCCTCACTCTCCCCATTATCCAAAAGTTGATTCTGTTCATCTGGACGTAGCGTTTTGTGAGAGAAATGTGTCGTCACTTGGATGAGTGACGAAACATTTCTCCCACAAAACGCTACGTCCAGATGAACAGAATCAACTTTTGGAGATTTACTTTCCTGGATGATTGAGAATGCATCAAGATGTTTTCTCCCCATTCTCCTCTTCTAAGACATATGCTTGTTTTCCTTGTCTGCCAGCCACACCCTCCTTTTTGTTCCGTTTTTTCTGCGGACCCTTTTTATGTGTCCCACCTTGCCACAGTTGTGGCACTTTTCTGTAACAAACCTGCAGTCACCGGCCACATGATTTATCCCTCCACATCTGTAGCATTCCCTGATATCTTGTTGTGACTTCGAGCAGACGTCCTCCATCTTGTTCACTGATCCTATTCGTTTACTGAATCACGACTGCTCCGTCATGCTCCTCAAGCCCAGTGTCTCTGTTACCTGCCTCCTTTGCTTGAGAAAACTTCAGCACTCAACAGCACCGCTCGCTTCTTCTCCTCCTCCTTAAAATAATTTGCGACAGAGAAGTAATCCAAAATCTCACAATGTTCTTCCCAGGATTGCAACTCGCTGTCAAACAGCACCACCAGGCCCATGGTGGTAGCCATCATTCCTCACCCAGAGTTATACTTTTGTTGGGGGTTTTCTGTAGGACACTGTAGGTTTCCAGAAAGTAGTCATAAATACATTTGTGATTATCATAGAAAATATGGCTGGAAATGAGCAAAGAAAAGTATTGTTTTGTGAAGAAAATTGCCTTGATTGATAATTATTATGCCTACTGGGATGGGCAGTGGAGTATAAAGGAAGGTTATCAGGGCCTACTGGAGAGTGTGAGATGGTTACGGTGAGGGTAACATGTAGGGTGGTTCAGCCACTTGAGCTTTGCAAATAAACTACTTTTTTTTTGTTTTTCATTGAGTTACTTTTATTTATTTTTTAAATTCTTTCTGAAATAAGTTCTTTGTGCACGTGGGAGGCCGGCATAATAAAGTACACACTCCGAACCCTGCCTGACTACGCCTATATTTGTTCGGGAGAAGTTTCTGAGAGGACCCCGCGGCAGTAACATGCCGACGATTTGTCACAGTCGTCGGTATGTTACGCGTTGGGATGAGAACCTGTTCATAGACATCATCAAAGATGGATGCAGCTTCTGGGGCAGAAAAATTAAGCCAATGATTAAATGCCTTAAACCTGCATTTCATGTAAAGGCCACCAGATGGCGACAAAAACCCTCCAGATCTATACAAGTCTCTCTGTAAACCCTTTGCTCCTGAGTTCAAGGTCTCTGTCACTTATATTCGGTCCTACTGAATAAAAATGGTCTGTTTTGTAAATTTTGGTTATTTTGTGATATTAAAAATGTGAAATTTCTTTGGTATTCTCACTCGTTGGCTAAGAACTCATCAGTACTGCATCCATCTTTTATAGTGTCTACAGCATTGGTTTAAATAGCAGTAACAGAGATATGCCACACCCTTTGCACTGGATTAAATAAACAATAACATTTGTATATATTTCATTTTAAGCAACTTCCAGAAAGGACAAGCCAAATGATGAAGAGGCAAGTGGTGAATATGCAATTGATGAGGAATCACAAGATGAAGAGTGGAATGATGAAGAGGAAGAGGATGAAGAGTGGAATGAAGAAGAAGACGAGGATGAAGAGTGGAATGAAGAAGAGGACGAGGATGAAGGGTGGAATGATGAAGAGACAAGAGATGAAGAGTGGAATGAAGAAGAGGACGAGGATGAAGAGTGGAATGATGAAGAGGAAGAAGATGAAGAATGGAATGATGAAGAGGACGCAGATAAGGAATGGAATGATGAAGAGTCAAGAGATGAAGAGTGGAGTGATGGAGAGCCAGTGGTCAAAAAGAGAAGAGTCCTTTGATTGAAACCTGAATGATGCGCTGGAGGTGGGAAAAAAATCTAGGAAATGTCGCGTCATCAGGAAGTCGTCTACAACCCTGAACCTCCAATTATTTTTGAAACTGTCTTTTCCTAGTGGATCAACTGACCACTAGGAAAATGCAGTTTTCTTATTTCTGTCTGTTTGTAAATTTTTTTTGTAATTTGAAGATGTTACTTGGTTTAACATGCTTGAGTCACTTGTAAGAATTGCCACTGACACAATTGTAACAAATTCAGATTTCTTGGTTTTAAAAGGTTACACGGTACAAAAACTCCAAAAAGTATTAAATCCGCCAAAGAGTAATTTAATTATAGAAAAAATAAAGTAAAATATGTTTTAGACGTTTCTGTTGAGCTTACTTTTAACACACATAATGACCGCAGAATTAGAGGACAAGAAATCCCACTTCCTGTTTTCACACAGGAAGGATAGACGCTGCTGATGTATGGTAAGACTATTCTGCTTATGTACAAAAATCACAGTTTATTAATCAAATACCTTGACTGTTCACAGACCATAACTGTGATAACGTTCAGCATAGAAATTATGCTGTGTGCGATGTATGTGGAAAGACAATTAAAAACTGTGGCAAAACAACAAACCTCGGTAAAAAAAAAAAGTGGGGAGCTGGCTCTCACTCGATGGGAGTTTGCTCTTCTGATTCACTACAAAGCATGACACATTACTGGAAGACAGTGTCAACAGTTTGTTAAAAAATAGTAACATGTCTGCCCCGCATTTTCTTGTTTGTAACTGTAACGGCGTTGAAACGATAGAAATAGTTATTAGTTAGATTACTAGTTACTGAAAAAAGTAACGGCATTACTAGTAACAGCGTTACTAGTAACGCCGTTATTCCCATCACTGTTGGTGGATAGTTTGATGGGATCGGTCCCTTCTGGGGGTCTTTGGGGATCAGGACTGTCCGGCCTTCAGTTAGCCATTCTGGGTTACTCTCATGGACTAGCAGCTGATTCACTGCCAGATGCTCGTGGAGCGGAGTCAGCTTCTTCAGCCGTGTTGTGGCCTGGTGCTGTCCGGCTCTTCATACTGGAGATCCTTTCTTGCATGCCTGCCACTGTGATTGTTACTGGATCCTGTTCATGGCTACTCTTAGATCCACTAGCCACTGAGCATTGTTGTTATGTGTTGCATCCTTCTCCCAAATGCTCTTTCAGTATTACTTCGTCTTCAGCCTTGGTGGCGGTGCTGTTCTCATATTGTTCCCTTACCACTGAGAGTACACCTTGGCTGGTTCTGTGGAGAACAGCTGGTTTGTTCTTCTGCCTTCTATCTCTCTGGTGTATCTTTTCAAACAGCTGGCCAAGGCTGTGAGTCTTACTTGGCAGTTTCCAAGGCCTCAGGTATGGACAGCTTACTATACTTCTTAGACACCTTTCTGCAGCTCCGATGGCAACGTGAATAAAAATTATGACGTGACATGTAACCTTTAAATTTGCAGTTTATCAAATGCCTCTGCTTTGTTGAAGGGAGTTTACTGTTGATTATTTTAGCTATTATATTAATATACAAGATATCAATTATTAGAAATGTGAGTAAGAAGCTCTGGTCAATAAAGGACCACTTTCTGTCTGCACCTTATACCCACAAAAATAGCCAACTTCCAGTGAATGGAGAGAATAGTTTCTGCTTATATAGTAACTGGTGTGTCTAGTTTACTGGAATGTACCGGCCTTAAATGGTGGTGACAGATGTTCAACAGGCAGAATTTGCATACAAAGCCATGACATCAAGGTCTAACTCATTTACATAAATTCTTCAAATTTAAAAGAAAACAATCTAAAAGGACTGCAGTGTTGTAAACCACAATTATTCATGTTTATTCATGTTGCAAATGTAGCACACTTAACAGCCATCTCATGATTTTCCAATTACAGTGACACAGAATAAATGGTAAATGGCCTGCATTTGTATAGCGCTTTTCTAGTCCATAGGACCCCAAAGCGCTTCACACTACATTCAGTCATTCACCCACATTCACACACTGGCGATGGCAAGCTACATTGTAGCCACAGCTGCCCTGGGGCGCACTGACAGAGGCGAGGCTGCCGGACACAGGCGCCACCGGGCCCTCTGACCACCACCAGTAGGCAAACTGGGGTTAGTATCTTGCCCAAGGATATTTGGCATGCAGCCAGGATGCAGCCTGGGATCGAACCACCGACCTTCTGATTAGTGGCTGACCTGCTCTGCCACCTGAGCTACAGCCACCCTGTAATGTTAATCAGAATAACATTTCTGATTATTCAAGAAGCGACACATTGTCTGAATCATTATCCTCTCTGGGCTCTCTGGGTTCCAAATACTCTTGAAAGTCCTCTAATATTAATCAGAATTCTTTCTCCACAAAAATGAACTAAAGTCACAGGAGGTTGCGGACAAGAAGAAATAAACAGCATCAGTGTCTGAAGATACCCTCATGATTTGTCTCAGCTCAGGTTGGTCATATTAACGTCAGTTCAATATATTTTCCACAGATTGTCCTCATCTGTTTCCCTGTCCGGTGTGTGTGGGAGGTGTTTCTTGAGAATCACCAACAGTGATGTTCCAGATAAGAAGCAGCAAGACCAGAAAAGAAGCAACACGAGCCTCTTTTTGTTTTTACTGTGCAGGCATGAGAGGAGCGTGTTTGCACAGATCTGTTTACTGTTTACGGAAAGAGTCCGTTTCTGGCAGAAATCCCATTCAGGAGAAATTGCACCACAGTGCAACACTTCTGCCCCCCTTGCTTACTTAAGGAACAAGGAAGCATTTATTTGAGAGTGCAGCAGAACAGCTCTACACAAGAAAACAGGAAAATTTTGTAAATAAGTAATTGGAAATTTTTAAGATGTATTTTAAGTGAAATTTACATTTTTTTCTTGTGTTTGCTTTGAATTCTGGTCACTTTATGTGTTTTCACTCCATTCAGTGTGTGAAAGTGTGAATGTGTGTGTGAATGGGTGGATGACTGAATGTAGTGTAAAGCGCTTTGGGGTCCGTAGGGACTGAGTAAAGCACTATACAAATACAGGCCATTTACCATTCAATTTTTTTTAAGTCAAGTAAAAGTGAAAAAGGCTCTGAAAAGTACTAATTTGTACCACTGATTTTTAAGCTAACTGAACCTAGCTATATTAATTTAATAATAAAATAATTATTGTTAGTGGGGTTAGGTTAATTGTGGATTCTTAATGCTCATACGTGTGAATGGTTGTCTGTCTCTATGTTTGGCCCTGTGAAAGGGTGTACCCCGCCTCTCGCCCTATGACAGCTGGAATAGCCTCCAGCCCCTTTTCCCCCCAACCCTGATAAGGATAATTGGAAGAGAATGGATGGATGGATGGATAAAATATTATTAGTAGATGGAAACACAAACTTCATTTTGGTCTAAATTTTAATTCTAATTAATTAATATGGTAAGGTAATTAATCAGGTAAGTAGAACACGAGCAGAGAAAAGAAAGAATATAAAAATAGCTCTGTTTTCTGTTGCCTCATTGTCGTGGGTGACTTTGTGTTTAAACAGGAAAACGTGTAGAGTCAGGGGTTCAAGTGGGTTTCAGCAGGTGGGGGAACCCTAAAATTGACTGTAAAGCTCAGTGTGAGGAAAAGAATCAACTCACAAAAATTTCTATTGAGAGCTCCAGTAGATTTTCTTAATGTACAGAATGTGATCAGCTGATCTAAATCCATCACAGTACAGCAAACTAACCGGTTTAGCCAGCACTAACCTGCAGCATTTAAATAGCAGTTTGTCTACATCAGTTCTTCTCTGAGGAATTTGAGAGGGATAGTCTGCTTGGCCTGCTGATGGCACAAGAAGGTACAAAACTTTAATGCTGACTCTGTAAGAGAAAAAATCAGGGCCATAAATTCTGGTGTTAGGGAATGCTCTCTTTCCCCCTTCTCTCTCTCTGCATGCCGGACACCAACCTAGGATGGTTGCCGTGGTGATGTGAGAAGCAACATCTCCCTACAGGGAGATGTCCGAAAGGTCCAGAAGATAAAATGTGAGCGGACATGGGGTCTAAAGGCTTTCCTCCAACTTTGACCAATGTTATGTTAACATTCTGTTTTTACCAAGTGTTTACTGCCCGGGGATGGCAGCCTTTGTCTCCTGGAGCAGTGCGGAGAGATGGAGGTCCATGTCACCATGTAAAAGTAATTTGAAATTCTAACCGTTCAATAAATTTTTTTTTGCAAACTTATAACTGACCATGTTTGCCTTTGCAACACTTGTAGCACCTGTGATACTGTTTAGGCTCAATCTGGATTAAAGGCTCACAGCGACGTGAAATAATAACTCCCCTGAAATTAGTCAAACCAAAACTAACGAGCCTGTTTTAAAAATGTAAGGAGTAGAAAGTACAGGTAATTGTTTAAAAATGAAGGGAGTAAAAGTAAAAAAGTTGCCAGAAAAATACTCAAGTAAAGCACAGATAATGAAGTACAATAGCAAAGATTTGTACTTTGTTACTTCCCACCCTATTTAAGTTGTATTACACTTCATTACTGTTTAAAGGATTTTTATGTTAGAGGTTTAGTTGTGGATTCTTATTAGTTATCATATTAATACAAAAATGTCCCATGATTAGAACTGTCAGTGAGAAGCTTATGTCAGTCCGCACTTCATACACAGAAAAACACTCCACTTCTAGTGAACAGACTGTTATTTTCTGATTTGCATAGAAACTGGTATGCCTTGTTCACTGGAATGCACGGACCTTTACGGTGATGACAGATGTTGAACAGGAAGAATCTTTACACTGAAAGTTGTGCTCTTATAACATATATACATATGTTCTTCAGCTCTGCAAGATAAATACTTTCTTGTTCCCCAGAACTTGCTAACAGTCCTTAGTGTCATGCAGGTATACTTGTGAAAATTTAAATTATATTTCCCTGACTCCACAGACACAGTGATATCATTACATGGCATGAAATATATAGATACTAATTGTCCAAATACCCTCATATGTACTGTTATAGAAATCGTCTTGTGTGGCTTCAAGAGGTATAACAACAGATATCTGACACAAACCCAAAGTAAGAAAAAATGGCAAAATCTAGAAATAATAATAAATTTGACATTATTAGTTTCTTAAATTGACAGATGACGCTGTGTCATGATGTTCGCTTTGCTGAATATTCATATTTATAGTTGTCATATTACTATAAATTATGTCAAATAATTAGAACCGCGAATGAACAATTTAACATCGCCTTCAATCTGCCCCTGCAAAAACAGGGGCAAGTCGAGAGGTTAGTTTATCCGCTTACTTTGACCAATCACAGCAGCCCCGCCCCCTTCTGTTCCTAATAACTTGAGCAAGGTGAGCAAGTTGTTGGTTATTTGAAGAGTGAAAGACCAGCTCTACACAGGAAAACACCAGGAGCTACTTGGAGTTAGCCTGAAAGACAAAGGTGAGCTTCAAATTAATAAGTTTGTTCCATTTTAAAATCTATTTTAAGTTAAAATGTAAATTTTGTACTGTGTGGGCTTTGACTTCTGGTCACTTTCTGCAGCGTGCTGGGGTATGCTCTCACAGCTGCAGACAGATGATGAGCTATAAATTCCTTATTATGCAAAGTACAGCAGCTGTTAATGCACCTCAGTAATGTTTAGACAACTATAAGTCCTATGTTGGCTCCTTTATTGGCACTTAGAGCTGAAACTTTGAGAACCTTTTCAAAGAGTAAAACAAACCAGGCATAAATTTTCTGCTTCCTGTCTTTTTTCTTTTTCTTGCTTTCAATAGAAAATTAAGTGACTTTATCCTTACTCTAACCTGTCACTGTAATTCTATGCAGCCAGAAACTGCTGGTAAAAAAACCGCAATTTCTAAGCCTAAAAAAAAATTAAGTTCTTCTATAAATTAATTCTAATGTCTTGTTTCTGGACTTTCACCATCAGCCCACAGCTCTACGTTTCATACGAGAGAGAGAATCCAACAATGTGCGACCTAGAGAACACTTTCAGAGAGAAAACTGTGGACAAGCCGGTAGAGATTAATGAGAAAGATGCTGTGGATGTTACAATGGAAAAACTGGGGAGCATTAAACACCACAACCTCACAGTAAACTTCACTGAAGGTAAAATGTTGTTGTACAGCGGGTTTGTCTGTGTGCAAGGCACAATCTGTATCTGTGCATCATGCAAACATTTAAATCTTCATTGATCTGCAACGATTTGTTTGTTACTAAGCAGTTAATGTGATTAAATGAACCATACCATTTCTATTTCTTTACCCTTTATTAACGTACTTTTTAAATTTGCACCAGATTGGCCTCAAGTGCTGAGTCACAAAGATCCAAATGATGAAGTTCTAGATTTTAAAGTTCGAGAACGTGAAGATTCAGGCTTTGAAGATCAAGTTGATGAAGAGCCTTTGAAGTCACAAAGACAGATGAAGAGTCCAACAGTGGTTTAAGCTGGAGTGATGAAGCGTTCATTGAGGATTGTTGTCCACTTTGTTCACATGTTTGCACTGAGCCTGCGGTGCTGCAGTGTGGCCACAGCTTCTGTAACGGCTGTGTGCAAGAATGTGAGAAGTGGAAAAAGTCTTTTAAATGTTCACTCTGTAACAAAGTCAACAACAACCCAGAGCTTCCAGTTAATGTTTCCATGATGAGTTTGAGTGAAAGCGACAGAGTTGATCCATCAGGAGGACAAAGAAATGTGCAGGTGAGTGTGCTTCATTCTTTACTGTTGATCCAGAATGTTTCATACTCCCGTATAAAACCATAAAGCTTCATCTTAATAGGGTTATTAGGCACTTTGACTCAATCATGGATGATCTGCGATAGCTAGTCAACATCATCTTTATTCAGCTACTTATACAACCGCACAGAGTGCTCAGAAAATTAGCAGTTGATTCTATGGAGCTCATTTTCAGCTCTAAAGTTTTACTCTGGGATTCCAGAGAACAGCTTTTTTATTATTCACTGACTTTCCTTGTGCTTCTGAGTGTTTGCTTTCTTGAAGTTATCCATTATCCATTAGGGACATGATGGATGATTATAGTAACCACAAACTTTTTCCACACAGTAACTGTGTTAAGAATAAAAAGTGAGAACCCCAGAACGCAAGGATAAATGTGTAACACCTCTAGTCCACGATTAGAGAAGATGATTAGCAACATAAAACACAATAATCTCTAATCCAGAGAAGATTTCCTGTTTCTTAATCACATCAGTGTTTTTCTGTTCTGCTCTTTTAAGCTGCAGCCCCTGAAGTTGTCGACTCCTTCATCTCCAGAGCTTCCACTGTCTGAAGATCTGACTGAGGAGACTTCAGTGTTTGGCAAACATAAAGAAAATGTTCCCCATGTGCTCATCATTAAATTTGTTGAAACGTTAGTTGTAACGACTGTTGTCACATTTGGTGAAGCTGATGAAGACTGAAACCTTTTTAAGTTCATTTAACTTCAACATAATAACCTTGATGAGATATGAGGGTTAAATGAGCCTGTGCTCCTTCACGACCCTCTCAAACATTCCTCCTTATGAAGATAACTCCTCATATGGTTTCTCTTCGTGTAGTGCATTAACAGGCTGGTGTTAACTCATCACGAGCTGGTCTTTTTATGAAATGGTTTATTCTGTTGTCTGTAACAGTATATTTTGAGGGTTTTTTTTATCCCTCTTTCTTTCAGATAAAAAGTAGCACAGTTTATGTTAAATATTCTCTCGTGTTTTTCCTGTTAGTCTTATTTATTTGTAGATCTTACATCATTTAAAGTTCTTTTGGCAGTATCGTGTGTTTTGTATGCCGTAAAAGTGACAAAGCACAACTTGGACTTTGCTTCCATCTTGTGTTCAACAAGCACAGCTACAGTGTGCAGGTCTGAGAGTGTGAAACCAAACTGTGAACTAATATGTTTTTAACGTCTTTTCAGTGACTGATGCCTCGCTAATGCTTTCATATGTAATATTCTATTTTGGTAGAATCAATTTCTGTCTTCTATCGGGAAGGATGATTTGATTATCTTTTATGTTTTGGTCTGAAGTTGCATTAAATAAAATGTAAAAGCAAAAATTAAGACTGGATATTTTTAAGAAAGCAGAACCATTCTGATCTAAACCCAGACGTTCACTCAGAAGCTTTACTCTTATCTCACTTTTTTGAGATAAATGATGCTGACGATGACTAATAATATTATGGTGATCCTGTAGACTAGGAAAATGATGTTAGTCAGGTCTAATACAAATCCATGAATCACAGGTTTCAGTAAAAGTGATATAATTTGATACTAGTGTGATAACAGAATATCACACTAACTGTTCATGTTGTTGGTAAACTGATGTATGTAATCACACTAAAAAATGTTTTATAATCTAAATAAATAGATAGATATAGAAATTCTGGTAAACCCACAGCTGTAACAGAATCTGTTTCTTATCACAGTTTCAAGAACAGATTTATACAGGCTCTCTACATGACATCATGATATTAAATGATATTATCAAAGTGCATTTGAGATCACAATAGCTCAGTTTCCATTATCTACTATATATTATATATATTCCATTTCCTTGAACAATTCAAAAATCCAAACATGAAATCATACTTTTTCTTTCAGGGTTCTAGTATGTGGCCTGCATGAAACACCATGATAAGAACACGTCTACAGTCTATCTTCTGGACATTGTCACACTGTTAAAGAGTCTAATTTAATTGCATTTTTACACTCTGCATTGTGCATCTCTTTTCGGAAGTCCTTATTCATTTTTCTTCCTTCCTTTCCTTGACCATATGACATTTCCATCAAGGAAATAGTTGCAAAAAGAAGACAGGAGGTAACTTTTTGGACAACTCAGCGGCACCCTGGAAATTTTCTAAATGAACAGAAAGGTCTAAAAAACAGATGGTATTAAGTCTCCACTCACTGTATATAAAATGATCTAAGATTTTTTAAAAAGTGTTTATTTTTCATATATAAATAGTACAGAACTGAATCAGTTTGATCAAAGATGATCTTGTACACGTTTTAAGACAAATAGTACACAACTTGGACTTTGCTTGCATCTTGTGCTCTACAGAGAAAGCTGCAGCGTGAAGGAGGAGTGTAAAAACTACTGTGACTAAATGCAGCTAGTTACTTCACAGCATCAGTGATTATACCACACTAATGAAACACACAAAATTTTAGAGTTATTTGGGCAGTCGGAGGCACTGCCAATATGATTTTCACTCTTTGAAATCTTAGGCCATGTCTGAACATGAATATCTCAGCAACTATTAAAGATGAAATGTTCATGTTCCTTTCTTACGATAAAAATTTAATTTGAATCTGTAATTTGGGACACAAGAAAAAAAAATATATACAACTTGGCTATTTAAAAGTATGAAGAGAAATTCAGGCAGTACTGTAAAGTCCCATATTTGAGCATACACTGACAGAAATCTTGACATTGGAAAAGACTAGTGAGAATTTCTGAACCTCACATAGCAAAAGAACAACAACAAAAAAACCCTTTTATAAAACTTTCATAGTAGTTTGATCAAATAGGATAAGTTGTACTACAAACACAAACATATCAATAGATAGTCTAAATAATTCAGTTAAGCATCATCAGCCATGAAATGTGTGTTTGTGTGTTTGCTGATGTTTGTTGAGCTGATGGAAATATTGCATTTCACAGTTCAACACTTTTTGGCACAACACTGAAAGTATGGATACCTGAAAATTCTTCATAAAGACTTTACTTTCCTGGCTATCATCTATCAACTAATATGTTATTTGGTTATGTAGTTTTGTAAATTATTCAGTGTTGGGGAGTAACGGAACACATGTTATGTATTTAAAATACAAAATATGAGTAACTGTATTCGGTTACAGTTACCATTTAAAAAGGTGGTATTCAGAATACAGTTACTTTGTTGAAATGAATGGATTACACGGCGGCCTTTTCCTGTTTCACATGTTCGGCTATGCCTTCTCTATTTTTGGTAATTCCACGCCGGAGGAAACCCAAACAAAACACGCATTAAGAGGCTCTAATGTCGGTGTCTCAGTCTCGCTGCCCATGTCACCTCTACTTTCGGCCTGCATAATGACGTGAAGAAGTATTTTTAAAAAATTATTATTCAAAAAAATTTTTCATATGAAAGCAATAGGTAGAGTGTTACAGGCATAGACCTAAAGAATGTAGCCTTATGGGCAGTGTAGCTCAGTTGTAAGTAAATAATTAAGACTCGACTATGTGTTCGTGTTTTCCTCCGAAACAATAAGTTCCATTGGAGCAGCCTTTCAGGGCCTCTCTCTGTCTCTGGCTAGCAAAGTTGACCCAGACAACAAAGCAAAGCTAGTTTTCAGCTACAAGCCCGACACAGAACCCGACATATTAGCCAGAGGTCCCTTTACTGCGGTTCGGAGCCACAGACCAGTTTTATATACGCGCAGAATAGGAGATCACTGCTAAAAGTGCAGCCTTACCTAATGTCAACCTACTGTTACTCATTTTATATTAAGATTTAAAAATCTAGTTGTTATTGGTATGGCGACTATCCTTAAGTAATAGCAATAAATCACACAGCAATAGTACATTCATTTTGTTGTAAACAGCATGATAATATATTAAGTAATCCAAAGAATTCAGAATATGTTACTCTCATTGAGTAACGTAACGGCATACGTTACAAAATACATGTTGGGGCATGTATTCTGTAATCTGTAGTGGAATACATTTTAAAAGTAACCTTCTCAATACTGAAATTATTTAATATGTTTGTAAGATTGTTGTGTACCATGAGGTGTGCTTTGTTGAAGGAAGTTTCTTGTTTATCATTATTAGTTATCAAATTAATATAAAATATGTCAGTGATTAAAACTGTGAATAAGAAGCTCAGGTCAATAAAGGACCACTTATGTTCTGCACCTTATACCCAGAAAAATAGTCCACTTCTAGTGAACAGGGAGAATAGTTTCTGTTTTACTGGTGTGCCTAGTTCATTGGAATGTATCGGTCTTAGATGGTGACGACATCTGTTGACCAGGAAAACTTCTTACACAAACACATGACATCAGCGTCTGACTTATTTACAAAAGTGCTTCAAATGAAAAAAACAGAAAAAAAACTGTCTAACAGGACTGAAATGTTGTAAACCACAGTTATCAGTAATCAAGGAAAAAGCTAAGTTAGTACGTTTTATTAGCAACTATTGCACCTTGTTCTATCTAATGCAAATGTAGCACATTTAAAGGCTATTTGATGCTTACAATAACAACTTTTCCAATCGTTCTGTCAGGGTCTCGGGTCTGTGACCCAGCGCTTTGAGTTATTTGGTATTGTTGATTTCTTATGTTAGCGTTTAGTTCATGTGTTGTTCTTAGTTAAGGTTGTAGTTGAGCCATTTTGTATTTTTGATTACTTATAAGATAATTTTAAGTTTTAGTATTTTTATTTAGTATGTCTTAGTCTAATTTATGTTTCTTCCAGGTCGCCATGTTTTTGAGTCTTGTCCTGTCTTCTGTGTAGTCTGTCTTGTTCCCTATGTTAAACGTGTAAGTTACGCCTGTGCCTTGGTCTCCCTAATCTCATTTACCTCTCCCTATGTTCCATGCATCCCCAGTCTGTCATGTGTTTTATGTCTATGTATGTTCCATGTTCCATTGTCAAGCTTGTGTTATCGTGCCTTGTCTCTCCATGTTTCCTGTGTTATTTTGAAAGGAGGCTCAAAATGAGCCTATTTTTGTTTTAAAACTTCGAAACAGCAGACGTAGATCTTCTGCTGGTCACAAGTTATGTTGGGGAATATTTGCTCTCTTTCATTTGCCCTCCATCAGTATTTAATGCAGGACACAGCCCCTCCAGCTGTTAACACATCAAGCATTAACTAACATCACCATGTAGTTTGTGAATTTGTTTCACAGCTTATTGCGTGCCATGATGTGCACTTTGCTGAAGATAGCCAGTTGTGGATTATTATCAGTTATCGGATTAATATAAAAAACTGTCAGTATGAAGCTCAGGTCAATAATGGTCGCTTTTAGTCGGCAACATATACCCAGAAAAACATCCCATTTCAACCGAATAGACATGTAAGTTTGTGCTTCATATAGTAACTGGTATGATCAGTTCATTGGAATAGACTGTGACAATGACTGCAACAGGAAATTTTACAAAGAAAACATTTCACTCTAAGGTTTGAAACAGTGGTGTGTGTGATATGTGATGTTGCAAAATTTGGATCCAGTCCCAAGTAAATACACGGCCATTGTTGCTGATAGCAAGTATTGATAAAGATGCTTTTAACTCACAAAGGCAGCTTATGTATGATTAGCAGGGAATGTCTGAATATAGTCTACAGGTATGATAACACTTAATTAAAACTAACTAATGCTTAAGATCCAAAACAACTGAATCATTATCTTCGGCTGGATATTTCTTGCCTCTGTGGAAGAACTCTGTGGGGTCTGGGTCTATCTGAAGGATTTTTTTCCTCCTCCGTCAGTATCTTTTACCAGAAAAAGTCTCTTTTTCACAGGTTTTCAAGTTTTTATACAAGTTGCTTGTGTTGCCAAAGTATTGAATTTCATTCTTACACGCCTACATCTTTACAAGGTTATTATTTGCAGCCATGAAATACCTCCCCTCCGGCTTTTTCTCACCCACTACATGTAGCGTACATATCTGTTTAGCACAGCTGAGTCATGTGACAACAACAAAAACCACAGCAGAGCAGGGAGGAGGAAGAGGAGCAAAAAGTGCACTGATCTGTTTACTGTTGCGGAAACAGTCCATTACTGGCACTGCAGACTTTGACAATTACATTCAAGAGAAATTTGATCGCAGTGCAACACTTCTGTCCCTTTGCTGACCCACTTATCATAAATGTGAGCAAGTTTTAAGGAACAAGGAACAAGGTTTGCTTGGTAGGGCTTTGATACGCACAACCATAGTTATGTTTCTAATGTGACCATATTAGCGATGTTCACTGTTACTGTTACCATTCAGCCGAATCCACACAAGCAAAGCATTTAACAGAATGAAGCCTACAGTTTAGCTTTTTGTATTTTAGGCTTTTACCATGTGTAATATAGGTTTCCACTTTTGTAACAGTACATATATGTGGTACTGTGCAAAACTTTTGAATCATCCCTCATTTATTTATATTTTGCTTCCAAGGAGCCAGAGTTTCTTCTCATTTTTCTCCTGTATCTCTCCTGAAGGGCTTTCAAAGATTTTCTTTGGACTTTGGCTGTTTTTCCACAAGTTTTTCTTCCAGTTATTGAATCTGATCCTTTTCTGGGAATTTTTTTTTTTGTTTGCTTGTTGTACCAATTAGAACTGACCTATAAATGATTTAAGCATGAATTAGCCAATGTTGTGTCACCACATAACAGATAACTTAGCAAAGAATCAATTTATATTTAGCAGCCTGTTGCAAAAATGACTAATTTGTTCCAATTGTTTAGCCAAAAGGATGAAACATGGCAAAAACAACAGTTTGACAGACATAAAATGGTTTTTTTTATTAATTCTGTGTCTACATCAATCTGTAAAACATCTGGAGACTGTCATGATTTGGGACTGCATTTCAGGAGGTGATGTTGTGTATCTTGTCAAAATTGATGGAATTATGAACACAGAAAAGATTTTGATGTGAAAATACGTAAATGGAGTCAAGGACATAAAAGTTGGGGGTGGGGGCAAGGCTCTACAGGATGGCAGTTGTCCCCCTTTGCCCACCTGTAGATCTGCCCCTGGCTTTGACTTCTTGTCACTTTATGTCCATTGCTGGAGTGTTCTTCTCTTCTTTTAGCTGCAGACAAATGATGAGCTATAAATTTCCCATCATTTCAAACAAAGCTGCTGTGAAGAATAGACAATATATCACATGTTCAGAGCTGTCAGTAAGAAGCTTAGGTCAGTCCGCACCGGATACACAGAAAAACAGTCCACTTCTAGCGAACAGACAGTTATTTTCTGGCTTGTATAGAAACTGGTATGTCTTGTTAACGGGAATCCCCGAGCCTAGATGGTGATGACAAATGTTGACCAGGAAGAACTTTTACACAGAAACATGTGTTCTTAAGTCATTTGTACAGATGTTTTTCAGCCCTGGAAAATAAATACTTCCTTGTTCCCCAGAACTTGCTGACATTTCTTTGTTTTCACGCAGGTGTACTTGTGAGGATTGAAATGACATTTCTCTGACTCCACAGACATAGTGATGTCAGTACATGGCATGAATTGTATAACCACTACTTGACCAAATACCCTTAACTGGACTGTAAATCTGGAAATAATATTACATTTGCCTCTGTTACTTTCAGAAATAGCTTGTTTGATAGATTGCTGCGTGCCACGATGTTTTCTTTGTTGAAGAGAGTTAGTTGTTTATTATTCTTAGTTGTCATATTAATATAAAGGATGTCAAATAATTCATACTCAATACAACTCCGCCTTCAGTCTTCCCCAGAAAAAAAACTGCACATTTTCCGCAAGTCGACAGGTTATTTTCTCTCAGTCTACTTTAACCAATCACATTCAAGAGAAAATGCATTACCATACTGGAGCCCCGCCCCCATTCCAAATAAAGGATCTAAGGTGAGCAAGTTGTTGGTTATTTGAAGAGTGAAAGACGAACTCTACACAGGAACATAGCAGAAGCTACTTGGAGTCAGCCTGAAAGACAAAGGTGAGCATCAAATTAATGAGTTTGTTCAATTTTAAAATCTATTTTAAATTAAAATGTAAAGATGTTACCGTTTTTATTAATTTATGTTTCATTTTCTTTCATAAATTTATTCTAAAGTCTTGTTTCTGGACTTTCACCATCAGCCCACAGCTCTACGTTTCACTGGCACTTTGCACAGCATACGAGAGAGAATCCAACAATGTACAACCTGGAGAATACTTTGGATAAGCCGGTACAGATTAATGAGAAAGATGCTGTGGAAGCTACAATACAAGATTGGGCTCAAGTGCTGAGTCACAAAGATCCAAATGATGAATTCAAAGATTCAGACTTTGAAGATCAAGTTGATGAAGAGCCTTCTGAAGTCACAAAGACAGATGAAGAGTCCAACAGTGGTTTAAGCTGGAGTGATGAAGCGTTCATTGAGGATTGTTGTCCACTTTGTTCACATGTTTGCACTGAGCCTGCGGTGCTGCAGTGTGGCCACAGCTTCTGTAACGGCTGTGTGCAAGAATGTGAGAAGTGGAAAAAGTCTTTTAAATGTTCACTCTGTAACAAAGTCAACAACAACCCAGAGCCTCCAGTTAATGTTTCCATGATGAGTTTGAGTGAAAGCAACAGAGTTGATCCATCAGGAGGACAAAGAAATGTGCAGGTGAGTGTGCTTCATTCTTTATACGCTTCATACACCCATATATCAACCATGTAGCTTCATCTTAATAGGTTCATTAGGCACTTTGACTCAATTATGGATGATGTGCGATAATTAATCACCATCATCTTTATTCAGCTACTTTTACAACCGCACAGAGTGCTCAGAAAATTAGCAGTTAGTCTTAAGTTAGCACAGCATATTTAAGTGCCGGAATGATCAGGACACATCAGTCCTAAGAGAGGAGATGAAGGACAAACAGTCCAGCAGGTTTCATTACAGGAAATAACCCAACTTTCCAAAACTCACCTCAACAAACTGACCTAACCCAAAAACCTCACTAGTCAGGCTGATGTAACTAAACCTCCAGTGAAGGAAATGATTCTTTGGAGCTCATTTTCAGCTCTAAAGTTTTACTCTGGGATTCCAGAGAACAGCTTTTTTTATTATTCACTGACTTTGCTTGTGCTTCTGAGCGTTTGCTTTCTTGAAGTTATCCATTATCCATTAGGGACATAATGGATGATTAAAGTAACCACAAACTAAGAATAAAAAGTGAGAACCCCAGAACACAAGGATAAATGTGTAACACCTCCAGTCCAGGATTAGAGAAGATGATTAGCAACATAAAACACAATAATCTCTAATCCAGAGAAGATTTCCTGTTTCTTACTCACCATCAGTGTTTTTCTGTTCTGCTCTTTTAAGCTGCAGCCCCTGAAGTTGTCGACTCCTTCATCTCCAGAGCTTCCACTGTCTGAAGATCTGACTGAGGAGACTTCAGTGTTTGGTGAACATAAAGAAAATGTTCCCCATGTGCTCATCATTAAATTTGTTGAAACGTTAGTTGTAACGACTGTTGTCACGTTTGGTGAAGCTGATGAAGACTGAAACCTTTTTAAGTTCATTTAACTTCAACATAATAACCTTGATGAGATATGAGGGTTAAATGAGCCTGTGCTCCTTCATGACCCTCTCAAACATTCCTCCTTATGAAGATAACTCCTCATATGGTTTCTCTTCGTGTAGTGCATTAACAGGCTGGTGTTAACTCATCACGAGCTGGTCTTTTTATGAAATGGTTTATTCTGTTGTCTGTAACAGTATATTTTGAGGGTTTTTTTTATCCCTCTTTCTTTTAGATAAAAAGTAGCACAGTTTATGTTAAATATTCTCTCGTGTTTTTCCTGTTAGTCTTATTTATTTGTAGATCTTACATCATTTAAAGTTCTTTGGGCAGTATCGTGTGTTTTGTATGCCGTAAAAGTGACAAAGCACAACTTGGACTTTGCTTCCATCTTGTGTTCAACAAGCACAGCTACAGTGTGCAGGTCTGAGAGTGTGAAACCAAACTGTGAACTAATATGTTTTTAACGTCTTTTCAGTGACTGATGCCTCGCTAATGCTTTCATATGTAATATTCTATTTTGGTAGAATCAATTTCTGTCTTCTATCGGGAAGGATGATTTGATTATCTTTTATGTTTTGGTCTGAAGTTGCATTAAATAAAATGTAAAAGCAAAAATTAAGACTGGATATTTTTAAGAAAGCAGAACCATTCTGATCTAAACCCAGACGTTCACTCAGAAGCTTTACTCTTATCTCACTTTTTTGAGATAAATGATGCTGACGATGACTAATAATATTATGGTGATCCTGTAGACTAGGAAAATGATGTTAGTCAGGTCTAATACAAATCCATGAATCACAGGTTTCAGTAAAAGTGATATAATTTGATGCTAGTGTAATAACAGAATATCACACTAACTGTTCATGCTGTTGGTAAACTGATGTATGTAATCACACTAAAAAATGTTTTATAATCTAAATAAAGATAAATATTGAGGACAATATTGTGTGTTTGCATACAGAAAAAAGTATTTACATCAATGTATGATTAAAAAACAATGTCAGCTATCTCATGTCTAAGAAATGAGGCTACTACACACATCTTCCAGACACTATTCACCTGCATAAAGTGTATAAGTTTCATTATGGTTGCATATTTATATGTATTATGATGATTTTGTAGGCTGGGGTAATTCACATGGCAAAAATGAGTGTATTCCCTATTCTCTAAATGAGGTGTTGTTATTGCAAAATGAAAGCAATGCAATACCTTTATAAGGTACTGTAGGCGTACAAACCCCACAAATGGGTAATGGGTTTGTAGGTAGTTGCTAGACAACGTGATGACATCATATACTCTAGATAAGAACCTCCAGTGGAGTAAGATGTGTCGCGTATGAGGAATCTGAGGGCAAATAAAGAGACTATCCCTGTTTATGGCTGAGGTGTTACATTTTGGTGTTTTGTTTTTATATTTCTGTTTTTAGTCAACTTTGGTTTTTTAGTTTCCAGAGTGGGTTTGCTGTCTTCACCGTTTTAGTGCTTAGAAATGGTTGGTTTCACTTTAATCTCCTAGGACTTGGCATCCACATATGCGGACATCACATTTTGGGTTGTCTAGACCAAAATACCAAATTCGCTACAAGGGCCTGATTTCCACTTACGAGGACATTAAACTGCCACTCTTCTATCAAAATTGAAAACGAATGTCATCATATGTGGATCTAATTTTTCTCAGAAACAAAAATCAGGTATAAAAAAACAAAATCAGGTAATTTTTTGTTTTTACATTCATTGGGTCCCAATCAACCCAAATATCAAAGAGAAATAAAAAATGCATGCCATGAAAGCATTCGGGTCTTAGGTGGTTAATTTTTATTACTGGCTAGTGATTTTTTTTTTAATCAATTATAAGACAATTATAAAACAATAAATGGCCTGTATTTGTAAAATAAAACAAGCTTGACTCATAGCATTCCCAGTTTCAATAAAGATAAACCAAAGGCTCCTCATCCTGGTCGTGGTAGAATTTGGTCAAACTGACAAAAAAATGTAAGTAAAACTTTTCCAATATATTAGGATATAGAAGATGATTTTGTTTGACTTCATTGTATTTATAAAGTAAATTTTTTATTTGTTTAGTTTCAGAATGAATACCCTACCCTACACTCTTTTGTTTAACAGCTCAAAAAGTTCCATTGTGTTGTTGAAATATTCTGTCATATTCATTTGATTTATTTTCTCTCTGATTTGGGACTTTCCGGGCCATCCATCCATTCGCTTACCCTTTTCAGGGTCGCGGGGGGCGCTGGAGCCTATCCCAGCTGTCATAGGGCGAGAGGCGGGGTACACCCTGGACAGGTCGCCAGTCTGTCGCAGGGCAACACACAGGGACAGACAACCATTCCACTCACATTCACACCTAGTGGCAATTTGGATTATCCAATTAACCTATCCCCACAAGCTGCATGTCTTTGGACGGTGGGAGGAAGCCGGAGTACCCGGAGAGAACCCACGCAAACACGGGGAGAACATGCAAACTCCACACAGAAAGACCCCGGCCTGATGGTGGAATTGAACTCAGGACCTTCTTGCTGTGCGGCAACAGTGCTAACCACCGTGCCACCGTGCTTCCGGGCCTTTCATGGAAATTGTGTTTGGCTATACTGATTTTGCATAATTTACATGTCTTCTGTCACTGCATTTAGCTGCCTGAGTGTGAATCTGTGTCTGATGTATTGGTTGTTACATTTACCCTAAAAAACTGCTGTTTTTTTTTTGTTGGATACCAAGTTAGTTTGTCCAAAATCAATCAAGCAATCAATAAAACAAAGCAAAATATCTTGCAGCTGTTTGACATTTACATTTTTTAGTAAACGAAACTTTTGTGGTTTGTTTAAGAAGGCAGACTGTCTGTGCATGCAAGAAACCATACTTCCTGTTTTTCTCAGGAAGTAACCTTCTCCTTTAATACCATCTGCCAGTGTGTTATTTAAGTGGCAGTTTCACTTTAGTAAGCAGCCATGCACTCGTCTTCTGGTCTGTTAGATTTAATGGTGTCTTAGCAGATTTGTAACAGTAAAAAATAGGGTTTGTTTAATGTATTTATTGACCATCTAGTTGACTGTTTGGAAGCAAATATCTTCAGTGAACAGTCAGAGATGTTAAAGACTGAGGACAAGGAGTATTCCCTGACAGAAACTACATGAGGATTAAAGTACTGTAAAAAGAAAATGGACCAATCAATCGTTAGTGATAAAACAGATGATTTCTCTGAAGGTAAGTCTAATTTTTTTTAATGTAAGGCAACAAAAAGATAATCTGAAAAGCACCAGCAACCATTTTTCTTCAGTGATCTCTTATTCTTGCTTTCTCTCCGAGTCAGTTCCCTTTATTCAGGCTGCGGTTCATCACTTCCAGCCAAACTACACTGCACAGAGTGGTGGCAACGTGGTCGCTCCTTCCATAATTGGTTCAAATGTTGGCAACATAAACATCAATATCTTCTCAGCAACACAAGGTAGATACATGTAGATAGACGCAGTTAAGTGAATGCGCCGTTTGGTCTCTTCTGATCTTTGTGTCGTTTTGCAGAGTGTAAAGAGGACCTCAACAATGACCATACAGACAGCTGTGGTGCTCTGCCGCCTGAAAGTGAGTGCTTCTCAATTATTTAATTTAAAAATGTTACATTAAAAAAGTAAACCATTTAAATAAATGTTTTCTCTTTCAGTTGACAAGGTTGCAGAAAGTCAACAAAACCTGAAAGCCACTCTGAGAAGGAAGTTCAGCCACATTCTCGAGGGGCAGGCGACAGAAACAAACAAAATCTCTCTCAATAACATTTACACAGAGCTCTACGTCACCGAGGGAGGAAGCGGCGAAGTCAACAAGGAGCATGAGGTGAGACAAATCGAGACGACACCCAGGATCCATGTGGGCCAGGAAAAATCAATCCACTGCGATCACCTGTTCGCTCCTCTGCCTGAACGTGGCTGTGACATAAGGACTGTCGTCACACGGGGAGTTGCTGGCATTGGAAAAACTGTTTTGACCAATAAATTCACTCTGGACTGGGCGGAGGAGAGAGCAAATGAAAACCTAGAATTTGTATTTCCACTTTCGTTCCGAGAGCTGAACTTGATGAAGAAGAAAAACTTCAGTCTAGTGGAGCTTCTTGTTGTGCTTTTCCCTGAAATTAAAGACATAGAAATTTTCACTAATGTGAAAAAAAACATGCTCTTCATCCTCGATGGCCTGGATGAGAGTCGCCTCTCTTTGGACTTCAACAGATGTGAAATACTGTCAGATGTGACTCAAACTACCACAATTGCCGTATTAATGACCAACCTCATTAGGGGCAGATTGCTCCCTATGGCTCTCGTGTGGATCACATCACGCCCCGTAGCTTCCAGTCAGATCCCAGCGAACTGCGTTGATCTAGTGACTGAAGTTCGAGGTTTCAACAACCTGCAAAAAGATGAATACTTCAGGAGGAAAATTAGTGATGTGAACTTAGCAAACCGGGTGATAGCACATGTGAAAACCTGCAGGAGCCTTCACATCATGTGCCACATACCAATTTTCTGCTGGATGGCAGCGACTGTTTTCGAGAAAAATATGGCTACAAAAGAGAGCAATGACACACCAAAGACTCTCACTCAAATGTACATACACTTCTTATCCTTGTGTGAGGAGGCAATGAAGAAAAGGCTGACAGGAAGAAGGGAGTCAAATGCTGACTGTGTGAGAGCTAATCTCCTGGCTTTAGGAAAGCTGGCTTTCCAAGAACTCGAGAAAGGCCACCTGATCTTCAATGAAAGCGACCTAAAGCTGAATGGTATCGATACTGAGCAGGCATCCATGTTCTCAGGAGTCTACACACAGATCTTCCATGAGGAGATGACAGTGTGCAAGGAGAAGATGTTTTGCTTCGTGCATCTGAGTGTTCAGGAATTCTTTGCAGCGTTGTACGTCTTCCTCACGTTCCACAACGACAACGTTAACGTCCTGGTGAAGTTGTCCGCGTCACGACGCTTTCTATCCAGACCATCTGAGCTCATCCTCTACAAAGAAGCAGTGGAAAAGGCTTTGCGGAGTGAGAAAGGAGATTTTGACATGTTTCTACGCTTCCTTTTGGGGCTGTCCCTGGAGTCCAATCAGACGCTGCTGAAACATCTAATGGTCAACAACCGAACACAACAAAAGACAAGAACTGAAATCGTTAAACACATAAAGGAGAAGATCAGGTCCAATCCATCACCAGACAGGTGCCTCAATCTCTTCCACTGTCTGAACGAGCTGAATGACCACTCCCTCGTGGAGGAAATTCAGAGCTATCTCAGCTCAGGTAGCCTTAACAGAGCCAATCTTTCACCTGCCCAGTGGGCCACACTAGTTTTTGTATTACTGACATCAGAAGAAGAGCACAGTACGTTTGAACTGGGCAACTACACCAGGTCAGAGGAGGGTCTTCTCAGGCTGCTACCTGTCGTGAAAACAGCCCAAGTAGCAAAGTAAGTAGTTTACAGTTATTAATTTCTACAGGAGAAAAAAACAAAACTCCAAAAGACTGAGAAGAGTAACTCCTCAATTGATATTGGAACCCAGTGCTTTTAAGTAACATCTCCTAATCTCTTCCTACCTGGAATGACCAAATCAGGGCATCTGTGCATAGCTAATATCAGCCTGTCACAAGCATAGAAAAAAGCACATTTAAAGTCGAGCTTTTAGAGGAAGCTGCAGCCTGACCTATTGGCTCGAATCTCTGTTACATATGCCCAACACATTATTTAAAGCTTTGGCTGTGTTTGATGTGAAAACACCACAAGGTTTTCGCTGTAAAGCTCGAGAGGGAAAATCCCAACTAGATCAGCAGTTTCTGAAATACTTAGACCCGTCTGGCACAACAACCATTTCACATTCAGAGTCACTTAAAACATTTTTCTCCCCTGTTCTGATGCTCGGTTTCAAATTCAGCAGAATGTCCCGACCATGCCAAAATGCATTGATTTGCTGATTAGATGTTTGTATTAACACTTGATCAGATGACAAAAGTACCTAACAAAGAGTTAGTGAGTATATATTAAATATACATGATGTTAGGCAGTTAGCTAACATTTTGACAGATGTTTTTGCATAAAATTTCAAACAGTGCTGGATAACAGACGTATTTCTAATCTGCATATATAAGGGGATTTTGCTTCCTGGGATTACTTACCATTTTCTTGCTGTTTTCCCTGTTGCAGTCTGAATGCATGCAACCTTACGTTGACCTGCTGTGAGAACCTGGCGAATGCCATCAGTTCATCCCAACTTAGAGAACTGGACTTGAGTAACAACAATCTGACAGATGTAGGACTAATGAAGCTCTCCAGTGGGTTGAGGAACAGCAAAGTGGAGACGCTCAGGTTAATATTCAACATGGTTCTTTTATTTTTATTTCTCAGCCAAAATGTAAGCACATGATTACAGCATTTTCCTTTGTGCAGACTGAGGAGCTGTAGCCTAACAGAACGCAGCTCCAATGACCTGGCATCATTTGTCAGCTCTGCCTCTTGCCTGCTAAAACTACTGGACCTGAGTGATAATGAGTT